TTAAATAAAAAAAACCCAGGTATTAACATTTTAGTGGCATTTTCTTCTTGGCATGTTTTTTTTCTCTCTCTCTCTCCAGTGAAATAGATGTGCTATGTTTGAAATGTACCTTATATATTGATGTGAAAAAATTCTTGAGTATGAAAGGAAATCTAGACATAAGTATAATTTTTCATGAATTGGCTCTTGTGCAAAATTCTCTGGCTCCCCACTGAGTTATATATAAATGAGCAAACTGGCTCCTAGAACCAAATGGGCCTCACAATCATATGTGCCAAGGACCTTTTAAACACAATCAAGCCCCTTTCTCGAGGAAAAGAAGAAGCTTTATAGGGCTGTGATGAGCAATTTAAGGGGGAATAGCTGTGAGATAAAAGAGCTAATATAATATTGGAAAGAAAAGGCTGGCATGCTTATAGTCCCTCAGTCTCACATCAGTCTTCACCCTAGATCACTCTAAATCCTTTTGACAGAAGATTAAGTATAAGGGAAACCAGGAGCACGGAGAACTAAATACTATATAAACACATTATGAATCAAGACAGACATGTGCAAAGTCACCAGACAGCAAAGCTTCAGTGTAACCTGCCTGAAGGAATTAAAATAGCTAAAGAAAGAATTTGTCATTCAAAAGGAGGATTATCTTTGAGACAAAAATGACAGAAATACAAACTTTAATGCTTATTTCGACTTAGTCTAGTGTTTTCAGTTGCCACAAAAGTAATGCCTTTCAAAAATTTGACTTCAATGCTTCGCTTCCTAAGAATATGAAAGTGTCAGCATCCAAATATACTATCAACAGTTAATTTGGACATATAACTCTATACAGTCAATTTGGAGACCGAGCTGAACTTCACTGTGACCTAAATGTAATTTTAGGTGCAAACCATATACATGCATGTTTCAGTTTTCTTGGTGCAGTTATCAGGGCTCAAGGCAGAGCTAAGATCTTGCTCAATTCTGTGAGACCTTTTTAGGTTGCAGACCCCTCCCCCAGGGGCTTTTAGTCAGCCTACTTCCACTCTGCAGGTGCAGGCCCAGAAGACTTCTCTGTCCCATTTCTTGATTTTGAAGAGATCAGATCCTTTCTTCTATTTCCTACCTTATATCCTAATGACATAACCTCTTCTTCTAGCTTGTTCATCTTTCCTCTTCATTAATACAATGTCTTTTGCTCTTTCTATTAATTCTTATATCAGTATTCTTTTGAATTTTGTCTTCTAGTTTATGTCGGTTAATCAGAATCTTACCTTGGTTTTCCAAAAGTACTTCATAAAAGGATGGTGACCACATACTTATACCCGCTGGGCCCCAAACACACTCAACTGCTCAGCTCAAGAAGGAAGCAAACTTTGAGCACTTTGGGGAGCAAAAATAATTGTCTTTACTCGTCTTCCAATTTAGGCCACGAGAATTTTCAGTAAGACCTACTTCAGCAGAAGTTGCATTCTCTTGGCACCTTGTGTTAGGAAATCTCAGTTGTCAATCTGCTGAAGTATACAATCACTTGGGAGACAGGCACACACATCCCCATCTACCTACCTCCATTTTAATTTAAACAGAATTACATCAATTTTCCTCCCCGACTCCCTTTCCGCTTGTCTTGAGCTGTAAAGAATCTCCCACTTTGGCTAGCCATAGTGATACATTTTTATGAAAATATCTCTTGCATTCAAAGAAATTGAACTTTGGGGGCGGGGGACTGACCTGATAGCCAACCTAGTAAAATATACCTTGAGATCACTTAAGATTTAACCTGCTGTCCTACTATGTAATCAGTCTGTTTAAGTTTAACCTGCCTTTAAAGAGAACAATGTACAAACCAACCTTATTTGTCTTGTCTTTCCCATGCAATTAGCTTCACAACCAGAGGCTAATGTACAGCATTAATATTAAACTATGTACTCTTCCATGCTGCTGACTCAGAACAAGGTATGTGTATTTGTGTGTTATAGTAATTGTTGTGGGATAATCTTTTTGTACACTGTGAAGATGTGTCTTTGCCAAGATGCCTTCTGACTGGTTTAATAAAAGAGCTGACTGGCCAGTCGCTAGGCAAGAGGTGTAGGCAGGACAGCCAGAGGACGCTGGGAGGAAGAAGGGTGGAGTCTCAGGAGTTTCCAGAGATACAGAGAGAGGGAAGATGAAAATGCTGTGTTGAAAAAAGGTACAGCCAGCCGGGCAGTGGTGGCGCACGCCTTTAATCCCAGCACTCAGGAGGCAGAGGCAGGCAGATCTCTGTGAGTTTGAGGCCAGCCTGGGCTACAGAGTGAGTTCCAGGAAAGGTGTAAAGCTACACAGAGAAACCCTGTCTCAAAAAAAAAAAAAAAAGAAAAAAAAAGAATAAGAAAAAAGGTACAGCCATGTGGCAAAGATATAAGAAATATGGGCTAATTTAAAATGTAAGAGTTAGCCAGTAACCAGCCTGAGCTATCAGCTGATCATTTATAATTAGTAATAAGTCTCTGGATGGTTATTTGGGATCAGCTGATGAGACATGGAGAAACTCCACCTACACACAATCATTTGCTGAAAATAACCACCAGATTGGAAGCAACCTTATACAACAAATATCCATAAAAATTGGATTTAGAACATCAGACAAATGCATGAGTGCTGAAGGAGATTATATTCCCCAGTCTATGGTGCTGTTTGGACGGTGGGAGAACATATAGCAGGTGAAAATTAGGCCACTGAGAGCATGTCTTCTGAGGGGACTCAGTTCTCTTCCTCTTTCTTTGCTTCTCAGTCACGATGAGGTAAAGTTCTTCTCTACTATGCCTTCTTATATAATATACTGTGACAGGAGACAAAGCAACAGGATCAGGTAACTATAGGTTGAAACCTCTGAAACTATGAACCAGAACAAGACTTTCCCTTTATAAACTGATTACCCCAAGTACTTTTTCTTTGTAATAGGAAACTGATTGATGCAAGAGGACTTAAGGAACCTATTTAGAGAATTTGAAAATGAACACAAGACTGAGATATACAGAAAGCTGTTGTCTGATTTAGGCCTGAACAAATATACCGACTGTGGATTGGGAACTGAATCCAATAGAAATATGCAAAAAAGGGGTGGGGGTAGTTTATTCGATGGTAGAACTAGGGAAATGCAGCTTCAGTGGGCATTGTTAGAGTCCTGGAGAAGTCCCACAAAAGACCACCATCTATGCAATCAGCAAGAGCATTCTTTATTCCAGCATGTGGAATGGTCGACCATTCCACACAAAGGCAAAACGACGATGACCCGGAGAGGAGCTTGCAGGCTCCTTAAGCACACCAAGGGGAGGTCCTAAGGCAGTTAGGTCATTTTATCTACAATTGGCTTAAGTAAGTGGTGATCATATTAGTATGTTCTAATTGGCTAGGGCTGGCAGGAGCTGGTTAAGGCTACAGCTTTTCCGTTTTAAGGCTGGCCTGGACAAGTCCCAGGCTTTGTCCTTATTTGGTTATCTGCTGACTGTGACTCAGGCCTGGCCTGGCCTGGTACTGCATCTTGTCAGGGGTGTTGGAGATTGATTGTTCTTTGTTTGTGGCTCTCTCAGAAACGGCTTGTTCAATCTCAGGAAACTGAAATTGAGGCCTGATCTCTGTCAGAAAACTGAGTAGCCTATTCTGGCATCTGCTTAGTCCTTTCAGGCATCATCTTGTGCTCACAAAATTTGATTATTTGTTTCCAGAAGAGGATTTGGGCTATGTGAAGAGAATGGGCATGACTGGTCCTGAATTGTTTTAGATATCTCTTCTAACCAGGAGGCCTACTAGGAAAGAGTTAAAGAACTTGGCTGAAGAAAAAAAGGCTCACATATGACCTGCAGCTGATGGAGAAATTCTAAGTGCCTCTGCTTGCTTTAAGGAAAATACAAGAGATCTCCACACATGTGTACGTATTTCCACCAGACAGCCAAGCTCTACACGGAAGCCAGTTTGCAAAGATACCAGTTTACATAAAACTCATTCTCTCTTAATTTCTTCTTCTTTCTCTTCTGATAGGTAGCACCACCCACCCCTTAACTTCTAAAGACTTCCAGCCAGAAGCAAGTCTGGGGTGAGTAATAGTATCACCATGTAATAAACTGTAGAGATGGTGACCTTCATTCATAAACTTTGTTTGGACTGCATCCTAGGTGTCTTAGTGTCCTTTGCTAGTGCAGTGATAAAATAACTTGACAAATGCAACTTAAGTGTGGAAGAGATTATTGGGCTCACAATTCAAGGTTGCCGTCCATCATTGTGGGGAAAGATAGTAGAAAATTGAAGGGGCTAATCACATCCACAGTCAAGAACAGACAGCAATAAATTCATGCATGTATGCTAAGTGCTCAGCTAAGCTCAGGTCTTGTCCAGGAACATGAAATAGTACCATCCACACCTCAGTTAACCCAGTAAGAAAATCATATGCCCACTGGCCAACCTAGTCTAGACAGTTCTTCATTGAGACTCTCTTCCCGTTGGTTCTGCATTGTATCAAATCTACAGTCAAAAGTAAACATCACACCAGGATTTATTTATTTTCTTTAAATATGCACTAATACACCATGGGACCCAGGCAATCCATCCCAGGATTTCCCTCTGCTTCACTGAAAGTTTATGACAATGTCTGTTTTGTTCGCTTGGGAACATTATAAGCACCGACAATTATCATTATCAGTATGTTTATAGACTCGGATATCTTGTGTGAAACCATCATGGAAATTCACAGGTATGCTCCGATGAAAACATCACGTGGTGGTAACTCAGTGCCCAGGCAAACAATGACGTGGCCTGGTCACCAGCAAATTAATCAAGTCACTTGGGCAGCTAGCATTCTTTTATTCTGAGTCATTCCTGCACCATGACGAGCTGTGCATGGATACTGGGAACAGAACCTCTCTTTGGGAAGTCGTGGAAGCCCCTAAACCTCACTTGGACCTTCAGAGAGGCACAGGGTCCAGCATCTTCCCACCAACCCGGTCCAGCCGAACGCAGCGGGCGCGTGGGCGGGCAGCGTGGTGACGTCACCGCCCGTCGGGTGCGCCCCGCCCCGGGTTCGGATGGTCGCCAGGGGACGCTCGCGGGTCGGGTCTCCCTGGCAACCCGCCGCTCCGCCCCTCCACCCCTTTAACCTTTAGGCTGCGCGGTTCCGGGTCCCTCTCCGTCCCTGTCCCTTCCCTCCCCTCCCCTTTGGGCCTGTCGGGACCGGAAGCGAAGATGGCGGCGGCCGCGGCCGAGCTGGTGATCGGCTGGTGCATCTTCGGCCTCTTGCTCCTGGTAGGGGAGGCGCTCCGAGTTCTCCCGGGGTGCGGAGGTGGGAGGTGGAGGAGGGCGGGCCAGCGCCGGCCTTGCCAGCCGGGAGACCTTCCTCGCCTGTCCTGCCGCTCTCTGCTGGGTCCGCGAGGATCCCCCAGAGGAAGGTGGGGGAGGCGCTGACGCCCGAGGTCTTCTTCCCAACTTCAGCCTCTAGCTCTTGTCTGAGGACGTGGCTGGAGGGTCGGTTTGGGGACGAGCGACCCTCGGGGTGGAGAAAGGCGTGATGGCTTTGATCGCAGTCCGCGCCGCCTCTGTGCCAGCCTCCTGGGCGCTGGCTGGCCTGGTCACTTGCTTGTTTTTCTAAATGCCCCATTTCCCCCGTGTGCTCCAGCCCTTGGCGTGGTAAGCCCCCAGACTTCCTCAGGCTCATTGTGCCTTGATTCTGCCTTGATGACGTGAGTGTCACGTTCTAGGTGTCACATTCCACCTAGAACAGTGTTGAGCAGGTGTGTGGCCAGGCGGCAGCCCTCCTGTCAGCCAGTGTTAGGGTGTACTACTACCTGTCTGACCTCAGGTGCCTTCTTTCCAACCATCTCACCTCTGATTGTCCAGTGCACAAAACCCAACTGTCATGGCCCAGAATACTCTGGTTATTGCTCTGCTACCCAAAGGCAACAGACACAGCTTGTTTAGTTTGCTTTGGACCTTTCACGTTGTCAGACCCTTCCCCTACTCTTCAAGGACTTCTGTCCTGTGGTTACTCAGTGTTTGCATTTTTGAAACTCGTATGATGTAGTTTGTCAGATGCCCTAGACTGACACTTGTGTAGTATGTTCCGCTAGTAAAGTGTTTCACGAAGAACCACACACACAACAGCACTTGCGCAGCATGTTCAGAGATCCTAAATTGAATCCTCAGTACAAATCCCATTGCTCTGGGCCATTCTCGGGGGGGGGGGGGTGGTGGTGGTGGCGGGGATTGGAAACCCCAAAGGTTAGTGGTGTGCTCTCCAGAGCCACCCAGTCCTGTACTTGGAGAATTCACCGGCTTTTCCAGTCCATTTATTTAGAAGAAGGTAAACATGTAACCAGTATGAAAGTATAGTGCGACTTTTCTGATTAATGAAAAAACATTTAAATCATGGTAGATTTATAGACAAAGGGAATAAGAATATGGCTTTTATAAAAGGCTGGTAAGTGGGAAACATGGATTTTAAATATTGAAGGACAAAACACGGTTTGTAAGTGGAATAGGACTTGAGAGGGGACATTGTTGGAAGAAAGTGCAGGTGGAAGTAGACTTTGGAAAGTCAATGAAATTGCATCAGGAACAACGCGAGAATGACAGAAGAATGCGTGCATGAGGTGCAGAAACGGTGATTTATTAAACATTAATGTCAGTTTGTTCAGTGCTTGCCTTATTAGAATGGATCTGTGTTCGTGTCTGCTTTTCATGCAGTTGTGAAGTAAGTTAGATTGGAATGTATGAACAAAATCTAGTCTGAGCGATGTGTAGGCAGAAGTAGAGGACTATTTTTGATAGCTGGAGATGTTCTTTGTGACTGCACCAAAAGTCAGCAAGTGCCAGCTTCTTCAGGTTCTGTGGCAACGTGCAACCTAAAACAGTGGACGTTGTCTTCGCTTACATTCAAGGCCATTAGTCCAACTTGTACTTTGAGTGAATCTTTTACCCACTCCTGTGTTTTTTTGTTTGTTTGTTTTGTTTTTGTTTTTTAGTGTGATCTTTATTTGCTACTCAGAAGCTACCAAGTGAGGAGCATCTTCAAAACATGAATACATTGCATTATGTAATATGAGATGTTACATTTATTAAATCAACACAGAACTTGTCAGAAATGTCCTGAGAAGTTCTAAGTATTGACAAGTTGTCAAACTCACAGTACGGTATACAAGTTTTGCAAAATTCTCATTGTCACTTGAAAGCTTGAGATTTTAAATTAAATTTTACTTACTCATTTGTGTGGTGTATATGTGCTGGTCTGAGGGGACAGCGCAGGAGTGTGTGTGTGTGTGTGTGTGTGTGTGTGTGTGTGTGTGTGTGTAGTGAAGAATGCAGCCTCCAGGGCAGTTTGGTTCCATTGTCTTGTTTCATAGTAATACACCATCAGTTTAACCTGCAATGGTTTATAAATCATGCATCGAATGTCAGAACTGGTTTTTAAAATGGCAAATGATATATTATTGTGAGAGTAGTTTTCGGTTTTTGAATCTCCAGAAAAACAGGGTCTGGAGACTTCACACTTGAGAATGAATGCCAATCGTATAAAAAGGATCAAGTAATGAGTGTTCCCTTTTTATGATCTTCCACAAACAAAATGGACTTCAGTTTCTTGTGCCACATGCAGAGGAATTACGTTTGGTCCCTTGTGCTCTTAATCTGTTAACGCTGCTGAATGTAAGCACTTCCACTGAGCTCCCCATGTCCTCAGTAATTTGGCCTACCCTACCATTCAATTGCTCTTCCCATTAGCACAAAGGCAAACTCCATATCTGTAAAGCAAATTTACCTGTGTTCCTTAAGGTGTGGGCATCACTCTACGGCTCTGTTACCACTGCGCAATCCGTGGGTCCACCTCATTGAAGTCGTTTGCCATTGAATACGCTCCCTGGAAACATCTCTGCTTCTTAGTCTGACAAAACTCTTAAGTATTCTCATTCCTTCCCATACCCCGTTGGTTCCCAACCTTGGCCACTCGTTAAAACCATCTAGGGAGTTTTTAAAATCCCAATGCCCAGAACAATTAAATCCAAATTGGGAAGAATTGGAGAACTATTTAAAACTCTTTCCTCAGTTTTGATAATAGCTTTTTAAAAGAAAATAAAACGCTCTGAGGTGTTTCTTTATGTGCCATTAACTTCAGTGCTATTTGTTAAGCAGTTACTATGGCTGTGCAGTATGCTACACAATAGCTCATTTAATCTTGAAAACCCATTAGAAGTTCTTATTCTCGTCTTATAGGTCAGGAGAATTAGTTCACTTGATGATACACTTACTATTGTCATCTGTCATAACCTAAAGAAAAAATGGGGGTTCTCTTAAAATAGTGGAAGTCAAAACCCCTTGCTCGGCGATTCTGCCTGGCAGCTCTTCTGTGACTTGTCTCTCTGAGGTTAGTATATGTTTCCTGTGTGCTTCTAGTCAGTTTCAGCGTGTTAGAACCGCAAGTGTTTCTTTCCTGAAGTCTGTGTAGAATGTACTGAGCCCTGAGTTAAGTGTTGTTAAGTGTAGAAAGATAAGACCCAGCTTCCAGTGAGTTCCAAACAAACTTGAGGAATGTTTACAAGAATTCTGAATTCACTTTAAAACACTCATTACATGTTAATATAGCATTTTATGGAAAGTAACTTTCTGAAAACAAAAAAAAATTTAACCAGAATTTGAGCTTAGGTCATTTTTGTTGTGGTTGTATTTGTTTGTTTACTTACTTATTATGTTTTTGTCGTAACATCTAGCTTCTTTTCACTTATTTTTTTTCCTTCTTTCTGTAAATGACAGTGTTGAAATGACAGCAATACGAATGCCATGCAACTTTGATGGATTTCAAATGCATTGGGCCAAGTGAGAAACTAGGCCCTAAAGATGAGCTGTTACATGAGTACACAATGGCGTTTGAGAACTGATGGAGACTGTAGGGACAGATCACGGGTAGTGGTGGGTAGGGCGGAGGATGCAGAGTGGGGTTATCTACGACAAATCACAATGTTCGGTTGTAGTGGAACCATTCTTGGTATCTTAATTGTGGTAGAACTTGGATACCATAGAACTAGTTAGGTGGTACAAAATAAGTTTTTAATCTCAGCACTCCAACAGATCTTGTTTAGAACAATGGTTCTTACTGCTGACTTATAAATTGGTTGACTTGATATGGCTTAGGAGATGCATACAGGTATTTAAAAACTATGTAGATAACTCTACCTCCCAGTCAGGGCTGAGGACACTGACTTAGTATGCGTCAGCAACCTTCTATTACAGAGTAGAATATAGGAGCTCCCAGTGCAGTACCTGACCACTACTGCCATGATTGTGTCCATTAACATGGAGACGTTCAGAGCCCACCTCTAATTATGAACCTCTGGGAGGTAGGCCAGCACCCCCCCTCAGCAAGCCCCCTGTATGATCTCAATGCTGCCTAATGATGTAGAATCCCTGGACCTATGTGTGCTCTTTGCTAGCTCCTAGAGAGGTCCTAAGAGTGCCACTCAGCTAGAGATGTCAGCCTCATTACCTCTGGGCACAGTCTTCACGGGAAAACTTGTTAGGCACATGTGTAGCTAGAGTTTTCCTGCCTGGCCCACAGTCAGGACAAATCTCTCTCACCTGCCAGTCCCACAGCCGCTCAGACCCGACCAAGTAAATACAGAGACTTATATTGGTTACAAACTGTATGGCCATGGCAGGCTTCTTGCTAACTGTTCTTACAGCTTAAATTAATCCATTTCCATTAATCTATACCTTGCCACATGGCTCGTGGCTTACCGGCATCTTCACATGCTGTTTCTCATCATGGCGGCTGGCAGTGTCTCTCTGACTCAGCCTTCCACTTCCCAGCTTTATTCTCCTCCTTGTCCCGCCTACACTTCCTGCCTAGCCAATGGCCAATCAGTGTTTTATTTATTGACTAATTAGCAACACATTTGCCATACAGAACATCCCACAGCACACATGAATCCATTCTCATTATTGACTTTTCTTAAATGCCCTTTAAAGTTTGAATTATAGCTTTTGTGTGGTGATTAGCAGTTAACCTCTAGGTGGATGGCATCTGTGGGCTGTCATTTCTGGTACATTTCCTTTAGATTGAAGAGATATATTGGGGCATGACATTGTGTGTAACTATTAATAATGTCTGGTGAGGATGTATGCAGTTGTGCACTGTTATTCATAAGGTGTGTAGACTTAAGTAAAATTGTACTGCATTTTCATTCATAAGTAGGCCTTAACGTCCTATCTTGTGCAGGCTAATAAAAGTTTTCCTTACACATGTAAAAGAACGTTTGGCCAAATAAACTTCAAATATGTGCTGATGTTAGTGTTAAAGGATGTATATGGTAACAATAGGCATTTCTTTTTGCTGTGTTTCAGGCTATTTTGGCGTTTTGCTGGATCTACGTCCGCAAATACCAGAGTCGGCGGGAAAGTGAAGTTGTCTCCACTGTGACGGCCATTTTTTCACTGGCAGTTGCACTCATCACGTCAGCACTTCTGCCAGTGGATATATTTTTGGTTTCTTACATGAAAAATCAAAATGGTACATTTAAGGTAAGTATCGTGCTCTCTGATTATTTTTTTTCCTTGTGGGTACTTAGTTGTTTCATTTAGCAAACCAGTGTCTTTTTTTTTCCCCTTTCTCTCTCTTTCTCTCTGTCTCTCTGTCTCCCCACCCCCTGTGTGCCTAGGCATGTAGAATCCAGAGTGTGTGTGTGTGTGTGTGTGTGTGTGTGTGTGTGTGTGTGTGTGTGTGCCTTTGCATAGACATGTAGAGTCCAGAGTGGACATCAGACATCTTCCTCTGTCCCTGAACCCGAAGCACAGTGGTTAGGTTAGGCTGGTCTCACAGGCCTTCCAGCATCCCATCTCTGCCCCCACCTGCCCAGTGCTGAGGATATAGGCATGGGTGGCCATGTGTGGCTTGCATGTGGGTGCTGAGGATCTAAACTTAGTTTCTGCTGCTTCCACAGCTAAGTAGCATTCGTTACCACTGAACGATCCCTCCAGTCCTGTTTTCTTGTGTGGGAATAGATAAGTATAGAAATGAATTGTCGAGGATGAGAACACAAAAGTGGTAGACTAGATGCAGAAAACCACGTTCTATGAGAATCATCAGTTCAACAACCCACTCAGTATCGGAAATCATTTTTTTATGTGAAAATATTTCATTAAAATTGGTTTTATTTTAGTGCTTATAATTCCTTTGCAGCATATTTGATTTTATTGACATTAATGCCACGAAGAAATGATTTAGGAGGTCTTTCAGTAGTGGTAGAATGCATTTGCTTCCTAGAATCTTACAGGACAGAGAATAGTTTGCTGTGCTGGCTGCTAGACTTGGCTGAGGAAATTTGGCCAAGTTACTTAGCTAACTTTTCTCTACTTTCGGTTCCTCATTTTAAAAAGGAAGCGCGTGAATGAGAGGAAGTTCTTTTTCAGTTACGCAAATTTCTTTTGTTTCTTACTAGCTTAATTAAGCCTCTGTGAAGTGGGTATTGTATGTCAGTGTCTGGCACATGGTACTTGAATAAAGCAGTAATTTTGAATTTCAGTAATTCGCAATGCTTTAATAACTCTGATTTTGGTCTAAATGACTTCAATAATTGATAACATTTTTTGTAGCTATGTTTGGAGGTATTCTGACTGTTGCAGAGACTAAAATTCCTTTTTCTCCTGTAAGGCAGACTCCCAGTTAGTATTAATGAAGTCTTAGTGCGTGCCAAAAGTAGTTTTGTGAAGAGGAATGTTGGCATTTGCTGCGTTGTGTCTATATATTAAGTGTTTACATACATTGCCTTCCTTTGACCTCCCAAGCAACCCTGTGAGGTAGTAGATTATCTGTGGCTTTATGGGCAAAAAAGCCTGAAAATATAGAAGAATTTGAAGCCCCCAAAGGTCTTCTTCATTTATTTTGTTTTTATGGAGGGAAGTGCCCCTTTAAGAAATATACTTCTCAGTAGTGTAGAAAATAGTCTCTTACTGTCTTCATTTATTTTCATTTAATTTACATTTTGTGTTTTGCACTGAGACATTTTAGGAGGAAATTACTATTTTCAGTGGTTTCATTAGATTTTCTGGGTTTTTTTTTAATTGTTTGTCAAGAAGTAAATACCTTTAATAATTTTGGATACAGATAATTAATTTATCTGAGCATTATGAAGTCATTTTCTCTGATGTCATTTTATTATTAAATTACATGAAAGTGTCTAATTTCTTGTGATTGGGGTTGGGTACACAGCTGTGTTTCTTAGATAAATGATTCTGACATTGTAAGAATGTGGGAGTGTTTTTATTTTTAAGTAGTATAGTGAAATCCAGGAAGTAGATAATTATAAACTTCTGGGATGTTTTTCTCCTTACAATCTGGGAAATTAATGCATATGTGTATGTATATGCAAAACTATTCTGATATAGTATAAGCAGTGTAATTATCCCTCGTATAATTACTGTTTGAACTGAGATTGGTTTTAGTTTTTAATTTAGAAGATTTATTTATACATTATAGGGAACTGTTTTCATCTTGGAATTTCTAAAGTAAATATTTCTATGAGCATATAAACTTTGTTTTATTTTGTTGATTTTTGGTACCCATGCCTAAATGAGTAGTCTTTTTCTGGATCGCAGTTATTTTCGTTTTTAAAAATTTAGTCTGGATTCATTAATTTTTTTTCTTTTCTTGGTGCAGTGGTGATATTTTATCTGTGTACCCCCAGTAAACTTTATCTGAGGATCAGAGGAAAAAGCCAGCCACTATAGTAAACATAGAGGTCAGGCATTGGTAGCACACGCCTTTAATCCTATCACTTGGAGGGCAGAGATCTGTCTGGATCTCTGTGAGTTCAAGGCCACACTGGGAACAGAGCCAGGCATGGTGGCACATGCCTTAAATTCTAATGCTAGTTAACCATAGAGGTCTGGAGGTCTGTACAGACAAACAGGAAGTGACACAGCTGGGCAGGGAGAGGAAGTGATGTAGCTGGACAGGAGACCAAATGAGATAGCAGAATAGAAAGGCATATAGGCATGGGTATACAGGAAGTAGGTTGCTTTAGAGACTGAGGTGTTGGTGAGGTGAGGTTAGCTTGTGGCTTTTCCTATTTCCCTGATTTCTCAGGTTTTCACCCCTATATCTGGCTCCAGGTTTTTATTTAACCAAACTGTTTAGTACTTTGTCCTACGCAGTGCTAGGGATTGGACTCAGGGTTTAGTACGAGCAGGCAGGTGCTTCACCAGCGAGCTGCTTTCCTAGCCTTTGTGTTAGTTTAACTGGGGAGAGTTTATTATACCTAGAACAATAGTTTAAGTGTTTTCCTTCTGGTTGGGGATGTGGTTCAGTAGCAGAACACTTGCCAAGCATATCTGTGACCTTGGACTCTGGTTTCCTTATCTTATTGTCTCTAATTTGTTTGTATTTATATAACAATATGTATAAATAAAAAGCAAAATATAATTTATATTTATAAAGCTCCTATAATGTAAATAATGTGGTAGTATCTTTTTCTTGGTACGCTTTTATTTGATTTTAAATTTTATTATTATTGTTATCATCATCATCTCAGTGTGTAACCCTGGCTGGCCAGAAGATCTCCATCCTCCCGTTTGGGTCTCTTGAGCACAGGGATTACAGACAGACATCATCATCCTTATCACCCCCAGCCCCACGCTTGTTGTCGAGTGCACGCCTGCACTGTGTCTTTTATTTCTGGAATTTTGTTTTCACTGGACGCCTCATATTTGCTACTCACAAAAGTAAAAACTGAAAAGATGGACAAAAGTTGTTCCTAACTCAGTCTTTTCTCCAAGTTCTTGGTGAGTTCTGTTTGATGCTTAGTGAAAGTCAAGTCCAAGTATGGACCGGTTATTTCTGTAGACTTTATGCTGCCATTGTAAGTTGTCATGTTGAGTAAAGGTGAGCTGCTGGCTTCAAATTTCCTAGTTGTTTTCCACACTGGACGATACAATATCCTAGTATGCATTTTTGTTCCTTCACGAATATGTCCTGTATACAGTAGCTTTTGCCATTCCCACCTCATATATTCTGAATCTTCCAAACTCACGGGTTCGCTTTCAGAGTTTAATTATTTGTGGTGATTGCTAGCTCTGTTTAAGTACGGGTGCTGCTTCTCCCTGGGTGGGAGTCCACACTGTTTTCCCTGGTTCTGTCTAGTAACCTGGGATTCTCATCATTCTAAGCCAGGTGTGTGCAGTAATGCCGGAATTGTTTCTGTTGACTTTTTTTTTTTTCAAATGTGATAATATGAATGAGTTTAGCATAATAATTTGTTTCTAGCTTTAATGAAACAGCTTTGCAGGTAAAAGTTTTGTGGTATAGGTCTAACAGTCCTATTAAACACTCAGTTAGCCTTTATCCTTGGATAAAGATATACATAAAGTATACTGATAAGAGTTATAATTCGACACCAATGTGAACAATGTTGTTTTTATAACACGTGTGGATTTTAAAAAGGATCTAAGCTGCAGCCTCAGAATGTTTGGGGTTTTGGCACTTGCCATGTCTTCCCTCCCCTCCTATCCAGTCACCTCACAGCTCATTGTTTTCATGTGTCGGGTTTAACTCTACTCTTGTTCCTATTTTAATATTATTTTATAATGACATCCTGGAGCTTGTTTTCTCCCTGGAACCTTAAGAGTCAGTTCAGTGTGGGCGGCGAGGTGAGGAAGTTGGGCTAGAGAAGCTGATAGTGTTTCAGGAACTTTGGTTTACAGCAGTGGTTCTCAACCTGTGGGTTGCGACCCCTTTGGCAAACCTCTGTCTCCAGAAATACTTACATTATGATTCATAACAGTAGCAAAATTACAGTTATGAAGTAGAAACAAAAATAATGTTAAGGTAGGGGGTCACCGCAACATGAGGAACTGTATTAAAGGGTCACAGTGTTCGAAAGGTTGAGAACCACTGCTTTATAGGGAAGTGGAATTGCTGCTTTCACTGTAGTGGTTATGTGCTCATCTCTGTGTGTTTAGTGAAAGGTATTGGAGTTGTGTATGTTATGAATCAGAGAGGCAAGGTTTTTTGAGACAAGAAAGGATAGCGTTGCAAGTGTAATTTCCTGAAGAAGGGAAGGGGCTAGAACTCTCCATCCGAATGTGATGGAGGAAATCGGGATCCCCTCTAAGGGTTCTTGGTTTCACTAATACGAGAATTTAAGAATAGACTCAAATGGAAACTCAGGGATAATTTTATTAGCATTTAAAAGAAAAACTCCAAGTCTGACCAGCTGTAAACTTCAGCTGCTGCACTGAAGGTTAAAAGCCATGCCATTTAAGCTGGCATGGAGGGCAGACACATGGAGATGGGGGGACGGGGATTAAAAAAAATGTTGGGGGAACCCAAAGTCATAGGGAAAGCATGCTTAGAGACAAGAAGGAAATAAGTCACTCTAACTTGGAAAAGCAGGCTGACTTACAGAATATACGGCTGTGGCCTTGTAAGCTCCACTAGGAAAATACAGTATTCCAACAAGAACTCAAGATTCTGCCTATATCTTTAGTATGGCGTACAGTGAGCCCACTGTCTTTGGGATGGTCCCCTGCCTAACTAGAATGTTAGCTCTCCATCTAGGCCACAGACCCTATTCTCTTGACCAGAAGGAGTTTTTCCTTAGTGGGGTTTTATTGCTACTCTAACAAAAGGCTTGACAATAAAGTAGCATGGACACCTTGAAGGAAGATAGGCCTAAAATTTGAGTACAAATAGAGGTCAGTTTTAGATCTGTTAATAAGTTGAGTCAGTGTCTATATTTTAGATTCAAACTTTGAGACTTACCTCTAAGTGACTTTTTCCCCATGGTTGGTGTTATACCCTGGGTAATCATTGTTGAAGGTTCTCCTACACTAGATGTCTGTGGCACCATCCTCCCCTCCCCCTCCCCCAGCTTCTGGTGGCTCAGGACATTGCCAGATGCCAAGAGAGAAAGAAATCGCTCCTGACTTAGAATCACTTTCCCAAGGTGAGGTAATTATATGAGAGTGGGGAGGCTTGGGTTGGAGCTCAAGTGGGACAGAGAGGTTCCAAAGTCATTTTGAAGAGTAGCAAAGGAAATGTATGGACATACCAACTGTGCCTTTCATCTGTGGAATCCATAACCTTTCTGAAATATCCCAGTTTGTTAGTCTCTAGTCCGGCTTCTTGATTGTTGCCCATCCCTCTGGCTTTTAGTAACTGAAGTCCCCACTAGTTTCTACACTGGAAGACAAGACTTTATAAAACATATCAAGGGCATAGCAGTTCTCAAAGTGTGCTAGAAGGAAGGCTGTTAAAGTCAGCTCTCCTGACAATACATCAGGTACTTGGGAGGTTGAGAAGTGTATAAAGCAAATACACTAATAGCCCTTGAGCTCTGTTGTCTATTTTATATACTATATTTGTAGCTTTAAAATAATGACAATTAGACTGGTCTATTGTCTTAAAAATTGGTTAGACAGAAGAGCCCTCTAAATTAAAAGATGTTCAATTTCAATGAATATTGGCCTTTGAATTACTTGTACACTTTCTCTTCTTAATTTATGTTTTGAAATTGGAATTTCAGTATATTTTGTGGAATTTCCAGGTTTTAACTTGAAGTGGTTTTCAGGGAGGACAGCACTTCTCCCTCGGATTGTCTGGGAAACGTGTTGGGGCTTTGTAAATGTGTAACAAATAAAAAAGAGAGAAATACAGCTATCCTCTAGTTCACTGATTTGATCATCTTAATTGAAAATTCTGTTTATTCTTCTTTGATGTATAAGGAGTCACCAGGGAGGCCTGTCTCTGGGGAGCTGACACTCCGATTGTGTCCATTCTCATCTGGGTACTGAGGACAGTGGGACAAACCTGTTCTCCTTGTCATAGATGTCTCCGTGGTAGGCAGTGGGCCTGTTTACAGTTTCAGCCTCTCTGTGTTTGGATGCCTTCCTTTTTTAAAGATAGAAGTTAAGTGCATTTAAGCTGTTGCTTCTAGCTTGTTCTGTTTCCTTACTCTAAAGTACTCTATGGCATTTTTTTCTTAAATAGCCTTCCTTTTTAGTATCTACATGATATTTTAAGGTAAGAACTTACGATAATACATTTTCTCATCTTTCCCCTGGACAATGATGTCTCCAGCTTTTTTTTTAAACACACTACACTGAATATTTTTTGGTAAAGAGCTCTTAATCAAAATCAAAGGTGCAGACTGGAGTTTACTGGGATATAGGTTCATCTATATCTCAACTTTCTTTCTTATGTCTTGCTCTAAGGCAAGCAGAATAGTCTTGTCAGTAGATAAACTCGGTATCAACTAGGTGTAAGCAGTTCATGGGGTGCTAGAATATTCTGACTGCTGAACACCTTAAGACTGGGTTCCTAGGTCCGAGGAGAAATTGAAACTTCCTACCCAGCTCCTGGCTGGGAAAATGAGGCCCAATTTGGGCTTCTTGGTTGCCAAAGAACTCAGTAAGACTCCTGAAGTCATCCAGTCATTTGTTGGACAGTACTATTTGAATACTTTATGTGCTGTTTTGTGTCTTGATTTGTCAGATTATTTTTATGTTGGATTTAACTCAGAATGTGTAGGTCATAGCTCATCTTGCTCTTAGTATTTAAGAGATGGTTTTTCCACCACAGTTTTGAACTACCTGATAGTATCAGAGTGTTAAGTTGTGGAAAGTGGTGGAAGGCTCCTATTGTAATAACATTGTGATGTTTCATCTGTATAGTAATTCAGAAATTTCTTACTGTTGATCCCCTTCATTTTTTTTTCTTGCCATTTGTCTCTTGTCAAATGACTTAATTTAGAATGTCTTCTTTCCATTATACCTGAGTTCTGTCTCAACGGGGTACCGGTTTTATTCTATGCAAATGATGAGTTTGAATTATGTTTTCTAAGCTAAGCAGTTTAAATAGCAGCCATGAAGGATGACTGCAAAGGAGTTTCAATTAGCTTTTAGGTATTTTTTTAAAAGGTGTGGTACATTGGTATCAGTGACTGGGCTGGCTAGCTTTTGTCAGCTTGACACAAGCTAGGGTCACCTGGGAAGAGGGGCCCTCAGCTGAGAAATTGCCTCCATCAGATTGCCCTGCAGGCAAGTCCAGAGATCATTTTCTTATTGATTGAGGTGGGGCCAGGGGGGGGGGGCAGCCCTTGTGGGCAGTGTTACTCCTGAGTAGGTAGTCCCGGGGTATATAAGGAAGCAAGCTGAGTGAGGCATGAGAGCAAGCCCGTTAGCCTTGTTCCTCCATGGTCTCAGCTTCAGTTCCTGCCTGGAGTTCCTGCCCTGACTCCCTTTATGATGGACTGTAACCCGTGAAGGGAAATAAACCCTTTTCTCCTCTGGTTTACGACAAGTGTTTCAGCCCAGCAACCAAAACTGAAACACAACAGTTAGCTTGTGTCGGAAACAGTTGAAGGGAGAATGGGCTGATTTTAGTCACGTTTCAGTGGGTTAGTCACGGACTTGGACAGACATCCTGGTGTGGGCAAATGCAGCAGAGAGAATGCAAGCACTCCTTTCTTTCTTAATCTGGGGCAGGGCTCCCAGCCCATGGGATGGTGCTGTCTTCTTTCAAGGTGTCTTACTCCCTCCTTAATTCTCTCTGGAAACACTGTCACAACATACCTCAGCAATCTGTAAGTTCTAAGACCCAATTCTAAATATAGCCAAGTTGGTAAGGAAGACTACCATGATGCCCAGATCTTCCTACAGCACAGACCAGAGCTGTTATTCTGCACGAGTTCCTCACTCTTTTCTGTTGCTCTTAGGACAAAATGCAAAATACTTCCACTGACCCACAGGGCCCTCCAAGGTTAGCCCTTCCTTTCCCTGCATTTACTTGTGCTAACTTTCCACAGCTCTGGTGAGTCTGTCTTGAGCTGCTTGTGGGGTTTTTCTTTACCCCAAGCCTGCTCTATATATTCTGTTCTCTTTTCCCTCCCTGTATCTTCTTTCCAGTTTTCCAAGACTGTCCTTTCTTCCTTGAGTCACCTTTTAGGACAGTTTTGGGAAATCACTCCTGATTGTCTGGTTTTCCCCCACAACTCTGTTGCCATCTCAGATTTATGTATTGACGCGTATTTGTTCATTTGCTCTCATTTCTTGTAGAGACCGTACTTTATTTGAGCCAATGACAGACCCCGGAGATGATACTCAGGCATACCAAATCTTAACTTTGCGTGTTAGACAAAATTGTTGTCAAAGGCAATACACTTACTGTTTCCTTTTACCCTAGGAGTGGGCTAATGCCAATGTCAGCGTGCAGATCGAGGACACCGTCCTGTATGGCTACTATAGTAAGTACCGTTCAGTGTCGTTTTTCTCTTCCACCAGCCGATCAAATTTAGAGTCAGACTACATGAAGACTTAGTTTGATATCAGTTATGAGAGTATAGCGTTGAACACGAGGAATAAATAATGTGCGTTTGTTCTTAATATTCTAAGACATTTTAAATCTACTCTGCGTTTATTAATTTCACTTGTAACTCCTCTTCAGCGTCATTTCATCAAGTTACTTCAAATCTCCTGTGTTGTGTTAAATTAGCCATATTTCACGTGTGCTCTGTGTTTGATACTTGTGTTTTCTAGCATTCCTTCACAAGCCTTGAGGGTAGTGAAGTGCACTCTGGGAGTCTCTTTTTCTACTCTGTGGAGCTCCTCTAATCCAGGGGCCATGGCTGCTTGGCCTCTTTCTGTCTCTTCCTCTTCTCGTCCTGGTATTAGACTGGAAAAGGTATAAATAGCCGCCTAAGTGCTTTCTTTTATTTGAATAGTTCCAGAGTCAGGCTTTCATAAAAAGATTTAAATATATATTCCAGAAAGGGATGAAGGGATGCCGTTTTTTAAAATCAGTAAATCAAGATGTCAAATAAGATTTTAATAGGACATTATATTGGAAACTGAAGGAATAGTTAAGAAAATTTTACTGCATGGACTTATTTGCATGTGTGTGTGTGTGCTTAGGCACATGAGTGCTACTGTGTGCATGTCAGGTCGGAAAATAACTAGTGGGATTTGGTTCACTCCTCCCATCATAGGAATCCTGGGTATTGAACTATTGAACGCAGGTCGACGGAGTTGGGGCCACACCCCTTTACTCACAGAACTATCTTGCTGGTCCTAAGCCAATGATTTTTTTTTTTCAAGAGGCTTACTTGATTTTAATTTAGCAGTTTTGGTTCTAACCTATGTCTTTTCTCCTGCTCCATAAGAACCATGAAATCCCTTTGGTTTAGATTTTTAAAGTCTTTATATATAATGTATTTATTTATTTATTTCTATTTTTTTTATTTACTTGTTTATTTTTAGTTTTAAAGCTTTTTGAACATTTCACAAGCGTTTAAGAGGAAAACATGGGGCAGGTTAGGGGAAAATCCCAGCAGCTGCCGGGAGAGAGGAAGAAATAGTTGTGCCTTTTAAGAAATGATAAAGCCCCCCCCCCCCCCCCCCCCCCCCCCCCCCCCCAGGAATAGAGGTGTGCTGCTAGCCAGCTGAGCAAAGAGCCCGCAGCCCCAGTGCATGGTTTAATACTTCTGGTTAATCCATTAAGTGTAGACTATAAAATATAAATAGTTCCGTGTGAAGTTTTGAGATGACACGAAGGACCTCGTTAAACATTCTGTGAAGGGACTGGGTCTGCCTCCTGTTACAGTAGTCACCACCCCGTAGATCATGTGACAAGATAACCAAAGTTGCTAGTCAAGTCTGACTCGAGGAACCATATCTTATCATCGAACTTGGAGGCTGCTGCAATGACCTTTTGCTGCCAAGGTCACAAGACACTTGTCAACCAGGTTATTGCTTTAGGCAGACGTGTAACTTTGATTCCATCTACCTGCAGAGAAGGATTTTAGCATTTTTCTGAATCTTTCCGAGGATATTATCTGTGTTCTGTAGGATAAATTGTCCTGGTCTCCTTTTAAATGCAGAGGAAAAAAGCTAATTGTTACTGTGATGATATGGCGCTTGGGAAGCCTTGGCGGGCTGGAGTGAGGTGCACCGTGGCAGGCATGCAGATGCAGTGGTGGGTGGCATAGCACATTGGAAAGTCACACCCCAGACACAGCATCCATGTGGAAAGGGTTTATATATATATATATATATATGGAGAGAGAGAGAGAGAGAGAGAGAGAGAGAGAGGAAGAAACAGAAAGGGAGGGAAAGAGGGGAAGAGAAGATGTGCACACCTCATGGTAGGGAAGGGAAGAAGGGTGGGGGAGAGGAAGAAGAAGGGACGGATTTTTCCTTAAAAGAGGATTTATATCAGGGCACAGGGCAGGTCCCCAAGGGGCAGGCCAGAATGCCAAGTGTTACTAAGAGTGGGATGCCTTAGGTGTTGAGGGCTGAATTCCCAGCAGAAGATGGGGTGTGCTGAAAAATCAATTGTCTTGGTGACTGAAGTTCTGCATCAGATTGCTTGTTGGATTGCCAGATCTTAAGTTCAATCCCTAGTGTGTATACACACGAGCGCGCACACACACACACACACACACACACACTGTTAGGACAGATGAGTCAGTCATTTGCGAAAACAATTTTGAATGACAGTGTGGATAATGGTGATGATTGTTGTCTTCTCTCTTGTGACTGTGGCTAGCCTTGACTCAGTTTGGCTCTAACTATGAGCATGACAGGATTGTGCAGCATCTAATGTAGTTACTGTCCCCAAGCCCAGCTGTTTCTTCTGAAATTTTAGGTCCAGTGGAATTGCCTATTAGATTTGCTTATGGATCTTAAGATTCAAAACTCCAAGGCATGGTTTAGTCATAGCCCTTGTTAGAGTTTGCTGTTCAGAATCTCATCTCTGTTGGTGTGTCAACACATTTTTATTGTTAGCCTTGCTAGACATTGAAGACTGTCACACTTAGGATCTCAGTGAATTTTCCTGACCACCTCTTTTCCACATTACTTTTGTACTGTGTTACAAATGAAGAAATTGGTGTTAGTAGTCATCATGTTGGTGAGTGGCAATGCCCAAAATGGATGTTACAACCTTAGCTTGGGCTGTTTGCTCTTAAGGGAACTAGGTACTTCTTAGTAATGGTTCTGGGAGTATGACCTATGGGAATAATTAGTAGTATTAAAACCCTAGCACAACTTCAAGATCATCTGGGACCTTTTAAATAATTTAGAATTGTTCCAGAGAGATTCTGATTTAGTGTGAATGTCTTAGAGTTTCTGTTTTGAGGAGACACCATGACCACAGCAACTCTTTTAAAGGAAAACATTTAATTGGGGCTGGCTTACAGTTCAGAGGTTTAGTCTGTTATGTTCATGGTGGGAAGTATGGTAGCCTGTAAGAAGACATGGTGCTGGAGAAGGAGCTGAGAGCTCTACATCTGGAACCACTGGCAACAGAAAAGACTGCCACACTGGCCAGGTTTGACCATCTGAGACCTTAAAGCTCTTTCTCAGTGACACACTTCCTCCAACAATACCATATCTACTCTAATAAGGCCATACTTCCTAATAGTGCCACTCCCTATGAGCAAGCATTTAAACACATGAATCTATGGGGGCCATTCCTATTCAGACTACCACAGGGTGTGGTAGACAGCTTGGTAATCCATTAGTAAAAAGTAATGATTCTCACTTAGCACTCAGGTTGAGAAACCATGGTATAAGTGAGTGGCTCTTCATGTGACATCTTGTGTGCTTGTGTGGAGAGAGATTTGGAGGCTGCACACAATAATACTGAATTACTGAGATCTAGTTTACCTTCACTTGTCTTGGAGTTTTCAACACACACACACACACACAAATCTACTTGCAAATTATTTGACAGCCATTTTTCCTAGACTACTGTGTTGATATATGTTCTCTAAGCCGAGCCCAGCTTTTAGGCTCGAACCAGTTCTTCTGCCTTAGCCTGTGGATGAGCTGGACTACAGCTACACACAACTGTGCCCAGTGTCTATTCCCATGTCTGATAATCTGCCTAATGTACTCGAGCCTGGATAACCATTGTTTATCTCTCAATTGTTTTCTCAAATTTAAAAAGGGGTGGGTGGGATTAAAATTTTGGATAGCGAAGTTCACAATCACAGTAGCACACATAGTGCTGAGCTGTTGTGAGATGTGAGTGTCTTTTACCGTCCTTTACAGAGCATTGAAGGATCCATCCTCAAAGGCGGGTATTTAACAGGCATTTACTGCTTCCAGGGGGAGACTGAGGTCTCCACCCTTGTCTCTCTCTGAAGGATACAGTGGTTATAATATAGTTTGGACTCACTGTTGTCATCCCTTCTAAAAGCCAGGGTTATCCACCATTGTTCTGCATCATGCCTCAATTCCAGTGTAAGCACAACAGAAAGGCAAATAGCATCCAAGTGTCGGGATAACCAGTGCCCATGCCGCAGGAGAAATGGTCCCTGTGGGGACATTGACGAACTTTCATGTCTAGAAACCACATTCTTACAGATCTTCTCTTAAGTTAATGGAATTGTGTTTTTCTTTTTCATAGATAGTTTCTACAAGTAGGGCTGACTACAGGTGGATAGTCAGTAACAGGATAGCTCCCAGCACTGACTGGTTCCTACCACTCACTTCCTCTGATGACTGAGGCTGTCTACAAAGATGTCTCCTAGAACATGATGGAGACAGAAGGGAACCCTGCTGGTCCCTGCCCCTTTGCTCTCTAGTCCCAGGGTCTTTAATCCAGAAGCTCCACCTAGGGGTGTTTTCTTACCCAAGAAACTTGAAGGATTCTTTTACCCCCTTCTTGATGTTTACATATTTTCTTCATTGTTTTCATACTTCTTTGCAGTAGAACGGACTGCTGTTACGGGACACTTTCATTTTCAGTTCTGCTTGATTTTTCTGTTAGGTCTGGTATGGAGTCCCCCTTGTCCCTGTCTTAGTCCCTGTTCTATTGCTATGAAGAGACACCATGACCAAGGCAACTCTTATAACAGAAAGCATTTTACTGGGGACTTGCATACAGTTTCAGAGGGTTAATCCGTGATCATCATGGTGGGTAGTATGGCTGCATGCAGGCAGGCGCTAGAGCAGTAGCTGAGGACTTTATATCCTTATCCACAGGCAGAGAGAGAGAGGGAGAGAGAGACAGACAGACAGAGAGACAGAGAGAGACAGAGGCACACCCACTGACCCTGGGGCCTGGCTTAGGGTTTTGAAACCTCAAAGCCCACCCCTACTGACACATCTCCTCCAACAAGGCCACACCTCCTAATCTTTTTTTTTTTTTTTCAACTGGTGACTAAGTGTTCAGATATATAAGCCTATGTGGGCCATTCTTATTCAAACTACTGCAGTCCCTCAGGTCTCAGTCTTTCTC